TTTATAGGCACAGTGATCCAAGAGTATTTCACGTTGAGAATAGTGTACCAAAAGGTCTGAGCCTTTTTGTCTTCACATCAAGTGACCTTTCCTAGAAGAAGAAAGCACAGAGAAATCCTTTTTGTCTGTGTTCTTGTGTCTAGCATAAATAAGGAAAGAGTCGTTTGAATATTCCAACGGACATAATCTTTGAATTCTTCTTCATCAATTTTTCAGCAAGAATCATCAGAGTCTAAATTGATCAGAGCCTTCTGATGTTGATCAGAGTTTTGCTGAATCAGAGTTTTTGCAGCAAGTGTGCTTTTAGCGTGTATAAATTCAGAGCAGAGTTTTGAATCAGATCCTCAGTACTGGCAGCGTTAGTACTCTCAGAGTCTTCTGAAGTAACTATGCTTGAAAACTCTTCATACAAAATTCTTCTTTGGTTCAGATGCTTCTGACTTGCTTCAGATTCTTCTGAAGGTTCTGCTTCAAATCCTTCTGGAGGTTCTGCTCAGGATCTTCTGATGGCAGCGTTCAGAATCTTCTAATGAGTGCATCTGACGCTTCAGAGTTTTGCATATTTCTTATGTTCAGATATGATTTGCTTCTGAAGTGATATTTAATTTAATATCTGCAACAAACATTCTTAAGCAAATTTTAGAGTATATAATTCTTAATTACAAAATTTCATAATAGTTATAATCAAAATATAGAGATATTATTAAGAACCAATCTGTGTCCTAACAGGGTCTTCATCATATGTTTAAATGCTTCTTCATTGATGGCCCTCATTCCCTTCATCTCTTTTTCCCATGACTGTGGGTATGTTGACTTGGCAGTCTTCCATATTATGTCCTTCAACATCTTTCCATGAAACTTTTTTCTAAAATTATTATAAAGGTGCCTAACACAAAACCTGTGGTCCACCCTTGGCAATAACTCATCTATAGTAGGTAGCAGACCCTGCAATAACATACAATGTAGCATATAAGTTTGGATACTTATATCAACAACAGCATACAACAATTGGATCCTAAGAAAAAATAAGTGAAGCTACACATACATACAACAACATATTTGGTAACAACAGTACTTTCATAGTAAAAGAGCATTTGAAACAATTGGATCCTAAGAAACAATAAGTGAAGCTACAACTTCTATACAGCAGAAGACAATACAAAAATTAGATGTCATGATTCACAATTTCATATGGGTTGAGAATCTATCAATTCAAAAAAATTGGACAACACAAAAATCATGCAACACAAAGTTCATTAATCAGTATAGCAGCATATTTGGTATATAACAGCAACACACATACATATTTTATAACAGCAGCACAAGAAAAAATAAGTGAAGCTACACATACATACAACAACATATTTGGTAACAGCAGCACTTTCATAGTAAAAGAGCATTTGAAACAATTGGATCCTAAGAAAAAATAAGTGAAGCTACAACTTCTATACAGCAGAAGACATTACAAAAATTAGATGTCATGATTCACAATTTCATATGGGTTGAGAATCTATCAATTCAAAAAAATTGGACAACACAAAAATCATGCAACACAAAGTTCATTAATCAGTATAGCAACATATTTGGTAAGTGAAGCTACACATACACATTCATAACAGCATCACAAGAAAAAATAAGTGAAGCTACACATACATACAACAACATATTTGGTAACAGCAGCACATCATACATATAACAGTTTGGATGAGTTATTTCATAACAGCAGCACAACATACATAACTTAGGTTCATATTTGGTATATAACAGCAAGATACATATAACATTAAGAATAAATGAAAAACTTGCCTTTTGTTGGTTTGAGATGAAGGTGTAAGTCAGACATTCATCTTTGCCTCCAAGGTCATCAATTAACAGCTCTAAAAACCAAGTCCAGCTATCCTTGTTTTCACTTTCCACAACTGCATATGCTATGGGAAGCATCTGATCATTAGGATCCCTCCCAATAGCAGCTAGTATCTGCCCTCCACACAACCCCTTAAGAAAACACCCATCTAGACCAATTACATGCCTGCACAACTTAAAGCTTTCCTTACACGCAGCAAAACATATGTAAAGCCTTCTAAAATAAGGTCTTTCATCCTCAACACCTACTTGTACAGGCTCAACATTGAGCTTAACTATTGACCCTGGATTGGCTTTTAACAATTCATGACAGTAGTCATAAACCCTTGTGTAATCTCCCAAAAAGGAACCATCTACATACTCTCTAGTTGCGAATATTGCTCTTATAACTTTGGTTTTGTTGACCCCAACATTCCACTTTTTTGTGTCTTCTCCTTGATATCCTTTATACTCAATCTTGGATTGTTTTTCAAGCTATTTTGAATTCTTTTACTCAACCACTCTGTACTCATCAGCTTCACATTAAACTCTCTACTGCAACTGTGTTTATCAATTACTTTCCTGAGTTGCCAAGTGTCTTTAGTTGACAACTTGCTACAATAAGCCTCCCACTCACAACCAACTTTACATCTAACCCTTACCATAATTTTGTCATTTTTTACAAACCTTAGGTATCTACCATTTTGAACAACATAAGTTGTTATTACTTCCCTAAAATCATCCTTTGAACTAAAGTACATTCCCACATCCCACTTGTAATCTGACATGTCTTTTGGCTGTCTGAAAATTTGATGTTTTTTTCTTACAACTCCACTGCTATCATCACTGTCACAACCACTTTGCATTTCCTCATTGTCATTGTCACTTCCTTTACCATCATTTTCTTCCTCCTCTCTGTTACCATCATTTTCAAGACCAACTAGGGCATCAAGTTCATCCTCTCTAATCTCATCACACCCATCAGACTCATCCTCAAAGCAACATCTTTTGCGCTATCATAATTGTAGTCCTCATTTTTACTATCATTAGATGATAGACTTAAGTCATCATACACTGCAGCTTTGCCTTTTCCAACTCCAAGATTACCTTGTTCTCCTGCAGCACTCCCTTTTTCAACTCCAACAGTATGATCATCCACTGCAGGAACCTCATCAACTCTAACAGCAGTGGCTTCATCAACCCTAACATTGGCTTCATCAACCCTAACTCCACCTTCCACAACTTCTTCATGTAGTTTACTAAGTAACTCCTCTACCTCATCTACAATTTCAGCAGGGTCCTCATCAACTTCATCAACAACAACATCACAATAGTCAGGTTGAGACAATGTGTGTTCAATATAAATATCAACAGTTTGGTGCACCCTATACAGATCTGCAATTTCTAAAGCACCATTGTCATCAACAAGTCGGTTCATCCCAAATTGAGGGTCCTTGTAAAATATTGTTTCAAACTCCCAATAACCTAAGTCTTTCAATACACCAACTAGCTCAAAATAACTCCATCTGTCTACATCTACCCTCAAATCATCTACTACTCCATTCTCATATACACTTCGACCTTCATCTGTGAACTCACCACTATGATGAATTTTCAGAGTTATGTATTCATCCATGATACCTAATCATACCATGTAAGTAATTAACGTTTAAACTAACAAATTTATATAAACCCTAAATTTGAACCTCTACCAGAAAACCCTAAATCAGATAGAAATGAACTAACCTTTTGAGATTGGCTCTTGAATCGTCTTCAATCCTCAATCAAAAAACTAGGTCTTCTTCTTCAATAGTCTTTTTCTTGAACCGTCTTCAATCTTCAAGCGCCTGCTCTTGAATCGTTCCTTCTTCTTCTTGAATCGTTCCTTCAATCTTCAAGCGTCTGCTCTTGAACACCAGAATCGTGAGTAATGAACACCAGGATTGTGCCCTCTTGAATCGTCTTCACTTCCACTAAGACACTTCACTTCACTTCCACCTCAGCACTCCACATGGACAAACGTGACAATTTTTTCAAAAACAAACTAACGACAACACACGGAAGGATAAACGTGACACCATTTTAAAAGTTAAAGGACCAATTGACACTTTTTAAAGATAAGAAACCAAAATAGACCCCGAGCTAAAGTTAAGGGACCAAAAAAGTTATTTTGCCATAAAATTTTAATGAGACCTACTTAATTATAATTTAACCCTGATAAATTTGAAGTCTGCACGGAAGTCTGTTTTGTAGTTCCTAAAAAACGGTCCTAATACAAGTACTGAAGTACAGACATTTTAATACCTGTCTCACTCCACACCTGCCCTAGATATATTTATATATTATAAAAAACATATATGTATCGATTTTAAAAATATGTTGCTAGTTAACTATTATATATTTTAATATAAATATTTGTTTATTTTATAGTTCATCAATAAAATATTTGAATTTTTTTAATTATTAAAAATTTAAAATAATATAATATTTTATAATTAATTAATTAATGTTTATTAAAATGTTGATAGGAGAATGAGTACTCACGATTGTCCACATAAACATGAACTCATGTACAAAGATTTTTTAAACAAATGTCCAAGAGGACGAGTAGTAGAGTGTATTCTGTTGAAACTACTATGTCCAATGCATTGCAACCTAAATTGCCACGCAAACAAGAAAACTAGATTTGATTTCAATACTTTCATTAATTAATTTTCCGACAATTTAATTCGTGATGGAAATATACACAAAAATGGAAGAAGCATTGGGTTGGCGGGAAATAGCTACAAAATTTACATACCGCATCACGCATTACTCTCGGAAATCAGAAAAGAAGCGCACCAACCATCGTTAATATTGGCCGTTAAAATATCACAACTCCATCTACTTTAAGCGATCACCGTTGATCTCTTAAACTCGTTCATCAAAACAACTGCAGCAGCGTGAACTACAATGCGGTCAACCGCACCGGAACGCTGGCAAAAAACCTAGCACTTTCAGTTTTTCAAAGCCCTAGTATTGCTAGTTGCAGGAACTAGCTGAATCGAAAATGGTGGCTCTCAATCTCCGATTCTAAATCTGAACTCAAACTTCGTTCCTAATCGAAATCGAAGTCGAATTCAAAATAAAGTTATTCGATATTTTCGTTTGTAATCTCCATGGGAGGAAGCAGTGAAAGTCCACTTGAATCGAAGAAATCCAACTCCAAAACCCCCAAAAAACCAAAAGAAACCGTTCTCAAACAGAGTCTCTATCTTTCTCTATGTTGCAATTTCAGATTCCGTTACCTTTATCTTTCAATTTCAACTGATTTTATTTTTTGTTTTGAAATTTGTAGAATCTCCGGCTGAGTTCTTCGCAGAGAACAAGAACATCGCAGGATTTGATAATGTAAGCATAATTCTACAATTTAATTTAGTATAATTCCATTTTTGCAATATTTTTGTATATTTAATTTTCTGAAGTTGCATTAATTTTAATTCAGCCTGGAAAATCTCTTTATACTACTGTTAGAGAATTGGTGGAGAATGCACTTGACTCGGCAGAATCGATATCGGAGCTTCCGATTGTTGAAATAACTATGTAAGTTTGCAACTACAAGTGTGTGGTGTGGTTAATTGAGTTTTTGAGTGTTTTGAATTAATTATTTATTTGATGTTAACTTGGTTTTTGCAGCGAGGAGATAATTAGAAGTAAATTCAATTCTATGATTGGTCTTGTTGACCGTGAACGGATTGATGCAGCACTATATGATGATTTTGAAACCGTAAAGGCTCGTGAGGTGTGTTCAATTTCAATTTGCAGCATTGGTTTTTTTAATGAGATATAGTTTTGTATGGATTAAACTGTATGGTTGGGCTGTATAGATTGTTAATTTGACTATGGTAGCAAATTTGAGTAAATGTTTGGAACTGCTTTGGACTTTAGATCAGTTTGTTTTGTGTCAAAGCAACTTGTACGGCTATTCTCATGCATGTAACTTTCTAAAGTTGAGTAGGCTCTCTTTATACGGTTTTGTCTGTCTCACATTATCTCTTGTGTAGAAACGATTAGCAAAAGAAGCTCGTGCTCAAGAAATACAAGCAAAAAATGCTTCCCTTGGAAAGAAAGTTAAAGATACTCCGGCTTCAAAGGGTATCAAGGGTCGAGGCGAGGCTTCATTTTACAGAGTTACATGCAAGGTGCACATTTTTTCTGCCTTACGCCTTTGTTTGTGCTTCTGTATTGACACAAATTGGTATTTATGTCTTAGTTTTTATCCAACCTGTAAAACTATTTTTTCTGATTTTGAAACCCAATTTGAACGTACTTTCTTTTTCTTTGTTTTTCTATCCCATTTATGTACGTATAACATAGCTTGTTTGGTACTAATTGCAGGATAATGGAAAAGGAATGCCACACGATGACATCCCAAATATGTTTGGTCGAGGTCAGTTGGTAACCTGCTCTACCTGAGTTGACTATGAATCAACATTTCTGTAGTTATTTTTTGTTGCTAGTACTAGTAACCTCACTGACTGTAAGCTTATATATTCTTGTAGTTCTATCCGGGACAAAGTATGGCTTGAAACAGACTCGGGGAAAGTTTGGTCTTGGTGCGAAGATGGTACTGGCAACATGCACTAGTTAATTTGTTTTCTCTAAAATATTTTGTTTCATTAACTCATGATTAGCTTGTAACAGCTACCAACTTTTCACTCGAGTGTGAGTTACATGTTTACGGTTGGTCTTATTGACCTGTATTTTTCATGTACACAGGCACTAATATGGTCCAAAATGAGTACTGGACTTCCTATTGAGATCTCTTCATCGATGAAAAAGCAAAATTATACTTCATTTTGCAGGCTGGATATTGACATTCACAAGTATGTTTGTATACTTTTTTTGTTGATAAGCATGTTTTAAAATATTTTAATTGAATTGATATTCAAACTCCTACTCCAAATAAACAACACTTCAATTATCAGGAATATTCCTCATATACATTTACATGAAAAGCGGGAGAACGGACAACATTGGCATGGAGCTGAAATTCAAGTTGTCATAGAGGGTAATTGGACAACATACCGTGTATGTAATTTAATTTGATCTAATTTTATTAATTTTGTTGCCACAACTACAGATGTATTTAAGCAGTTCCATATGTTTTCGTGCCTGTAAGTTAAACACATTTCATTATATATAAGCTTTGTTTGCATTGCAGTCAAAAATCTTGCATTACATGCGACAAATGGCTGTTATCACCCCTTATGCGCAGTTTCAATTTAAATTTGTGTCAGATGCACCCGAGTAAGTAAATGTATCAATTCAGATTCTCCCTCCAAGAACTACTATGCACAATCATCTTATACCCTCTGTTCTCTTTTGCAGCAAGAATGTAACTGTAAGGTTTGCTCGTAGAACAGATGTAATGCCACCCATTCCTTTGGAGACAAAACATCATCCATCATCTGTTGATTTGCTGCTAATTAAAAGACTTATTACTGAAACTTCAAAACAGAACCTTTTGCAGTTTCTTCAGCACGAATTTGTAAATATCAGTAAACCCCATGCTGAAAGATTGATCGGTAAGGAAAATAGAAATTTTATTAATAATTTGTTTTAGATTCTATGTGATTCTTAATTGGGAGTCCGTGTGCATTTATTGTAAAAGGCCATTTCAAATGGTACTATTATTTATACGCATTGAATAAAATTAACAAAACTGGTATTTTATTTTTTTAGAGGAAAGATAATAAAGTTTCTCCACCTGATAATAGTTAATTCTCCTTGCTGTTAAAGCAATTAATGTGAGATATTTAAGCGGAGAGAGAAAACATGTCTAGCCTTCTTTGTTGATATTGATTGAAATGTTGGAATAGTAAAGATCCCTCTTTGTTTTATATTCACATTTGTTTTAATGAATGAGTAATGAGTTGGGTTGCCTGCTGCAGTTCTGCTGTATGTAGATGCTTTTGTCCCCCGAGGCTCATAAAGTGATACTTTGAATTACTCCTTAGTGCTGAGATTTTAGTAAATTAGTAACAGTTCATTTGTCCTGAACTTAGATAAAGTTTATACTCAAATATTTCTGTGTATATTCTAGATCCCATTTTGTTATGTATTAAACTATTTTCCTTTTCTTTTTCAGGAGAAATGGGTCCCGATTTCAGCTCAAAAATGGCTGTGAAGTCTCTAACATCACAACAACTAGTACGCATTCATCAGTTGTTTCGTCAAGCCAAATTTGATGATCCCAGTGGTCATGTAAGTGATGAAGTCTATTATGAACCCTTTTCTTTACACTCATCACACATTGTTCCATAATTAACATTTTCATTATGTTACTCACGTCATTGCTTATGTCCTTACTGTCTATTATCAGTGTCTTAGCCCTGCTGGCGAATACAATCTTCGACTAGGAATTATAAAAGAGCTTCATCCAGACATGGTCGCAACATATTCAGGCAGGTTGTGATTCAATATCAAAGTTTGCTTGATCATACTCTTACCTCAAATTATTGCCTCTTGTAACCATTCTTTTTAATCCCTCTTGTCGTGGACCGTCTCGGGCATTTAGCTTACTGTCTATAATTTTATCTGATCTTTCTGACCGTGTTATATAAGTTTCGAAGGGTTTATGGATGCCCCTATAGCAGATGCCCATTAGAGATTTTTTTAATGTTAGCTATGTGCTTGGCTTTTCTGGTAATAGATAATTTAGTATGCTTAAAAGTTATTTTCCTGTGACTGCTGTACAGTGCTCAAGTTTTTGAAGGCCACCCTTTCATTGTGGAAGCAGGAATCAGTATAGGTGGAAAAGATGTCAAGCAAGTTAAGTTTCGCTTCCAGTAATATTTATGTTAGGTAGCAGTTCAGTTTGAAATTCTTGCGTGCTAAAAATATCTTTTTTTTTTCTTTCTGAAAAGAAGTAGTTGGAGAGTGTCAATTACTATGGTGTTGTCAAAGTAGCATACTGAACAGCCTCCGCAATAAACCTGCATAAGTGAGTGCCAATTACTATTGATGAACGGCCTCCACAATAAATCTTGCAATTACGGACTGTAGGAAAGAAATGTCCTTGAGGTTCGAAGGCACATTAGTACCATACTTAGCTTGCAATTACCGACTGTAGGAAAAGAAATGTCTTTGAGTTTTGCCATCTTTGCCCTGTGTAACAGATCCCTTGTGCGTTCTGATAGAGTAAGTAGAAAATCACCATGACGAAGCTGTTTCAATTTTGACCTCAACTCCCAAAAAGTGATCAAAAGATTCTAGGCATGTTTAAGTGCAAATTATTAACTAAGCTTGTTGATCAAATCATCAACAAGGAGAAACTTAAGATCCAATAATAATAGTGTAATCCACATAGATAAAAACATAGAGACAAGCGGTAGCCTTAAAGAAGATATATAAAGAGTGATCAAACTGGTAGAAATGAACTCAGTGTCAGAAGGTAGATATGATCCATTCATACCCAACATTAAGTGTTTGTGTAAGGCCATAGAGAGCCTTGTTAAGTCTGCAAACCCGTAATTTATTGGGTGCTTCAAACTTGGGAGGTTACATTATGTAAACCTCTTCATGAGGGTGCCTGATCGGAAAAATAGCAAGTGTATTATTTTTACAGATGTAGTAATAAGGGAAAAGTTCCCGAGTATCGATCTCGAGGGTTGCGTAGGAACCAACAATGTTTTTAATGATTCAAAAGAACAAAAATACCTTGGGGTTATTTTTAAAAGTTATATAAACAAATAAAATTACTAAAGAAAATAAAACAGGAAAACAAAGGTTTATAGTAATAATAAAAACAATGCTAGGGAAGTGGATAAATTGCTCTGAAGACCGGAAAAAATTGTTCTAAGAGACATGCCTCCAACCTTTATATGTCAAATTCCCAAATTAGTTTTCCTTAATTACTTAATGAAAAATCCTTTGATAATTTTTCCTACACACTAATTCCTTAGTTGCCCACGAAAATCATCAAGCAATAGTTCTGACATAATAAACACGTTACTACGGGGTATCCCCATTCCTAGGCAATATCTACAGTAATATTATTTTGCAAAAGCATTAGATTGGTTTTTCAGACCTAAACCTAACCGTCAATCGAATTCCATTTTCCAATACGAATCCGCCTTAAGATCGTTGCGAAATAAAAGATAAAAGGGGAAAAACATAGATCTCATAAAATAATTTAAACACAGATCAATACATTGCAATTTAGGACCACCCCTAGCAATGGGGGTTTAGCCAATCATGTTCTGAATCAAAACAAAAACAAAGAAAAATGAAAGGAAGACACTCATTACAATAAGGATTGGGGTTCGTGGGATTGGGGTTCGTGGATCATCAATAGCTTCCGCTTTTGATCTATCCTCGTTCTCCGGAAATCTCCTCCAAAGCTTAAAAAAAAAAACCAAAAAAACAAAAAACTCCCTTTTTTTAAGCCACGATGCGTCTAATCTATCAGAATTCAAATTACACTGCAAGATGCCTAAACTGTCCTCCGAGATAGCAACAGTCAGCATAAAATGAAATAAATGGTCCATTATTAACATCAATATACTAAATGGTCCATCTACTGATGGGTGCCAAAGTTAGAATTACCAAAGCCTGGGAAAAAGGCCGTGATTGTGTTGCTGATAAAATCCCTTTGCAATCACGGGAGCTTTGCACTTGTATGGTAGCTGGATGTCTCTAGCTTACTTTTTTACAGTAGTTGAATGTCTCTAGCAAAGCTGTGATGTCCGCTCCTCTTCTACATAACAGAATGTGCCGACCCAGCACATTTTATCAGTTCAGTTACTGTAGTTATGATTATGTTATGCTTAGTGAGCTAGGTAGCTTATCTTAGGTTTATCTTTATATAAACCTGGATTGCACATACAAGCTGTTATGAAATCATTTTTAATAATTATCAGATTCTATTCTTTTTAAGTTATCATTCAATGTCATATCTATAGTTCAAAGCTTGCTAGAACTCTGAAGAGCTAGTTATACAGTACTGTGTCATTGTGTTTTTTCGACAATAGTAAATATGGTTTGTCCTGACAAATATACAATACTTGTTTTCAGGGTTTGAATATATTTCGTTTTGCCAATAGAATTCCACTACTTTTTGAGCAAGGTGCCGATGTTGTCACCAGAACTGCACTTAAAAGAATCAAGTGAGTGTGCTCAGAAGCATATGGTTTCCCCTTTTCTTTCTAGTTTTGAGACAAGTTCATACAAAACTCCCTAACAATCACAACACAGTAATTATAAGTGAAACCTTACTAAATACTTTTTCAGCTGGAATAATTACAAGATTAACCAGGTACAAGACAAGATTGGTGTCTTTGTAAGCATTGTGAGCACAAAAATCCCATTTAAAGGAACTGGAAAAGAATACATTGGAGATGACATTACAGAGATTGCTTCTGCTGTCAAGGTATGAAGTGTTTAATTTACAAATTTTCAGTGTCAGCAATGTTAAGTAAGCTAACAACAATTTTGTGCTACTATATCCAGTCTGCTCTTCAACAGTGTTGTGTCCAATTAAAATCCAAGATTGTGAAAAGGTTGCAGGCTCGTGAGCAGCAGGAAAGAAAACGAAACCTAAGCAGGTAAGCATAAGTTTTATTTGTGCCATGATTTTAGGAATCAATTGAATGATGCTGCACTTGCTTCTGCTTTTTGTTTGATATGATATAAGATATGGCTCCTACCATTGGCAGGTATATTCCCGATGCTAGTGGTGCGATATACAACGTTTTGAAACAAATGGCACCATCAAATCCATCAAAGAAGATTCGTTACGGGGATGATCTAGAACTACTAAGTAAAGTCTCTGACAATTTGGTTACCAAAGAAACATTCAGCGAAAAGCTTGCTAAACATGTTGAACAGGTATTTCCCTCTAACTGTTTTTTTTTGTTAATTTTTTTATAGTTATATTTCAATTTACAAACAAATAGGATAAATCAACCTAAATTGATGGAAACTGTTGGAGTGACAGTTAAACTGGCATAAAGGAACAACGCTTGCTTGCTGTCATGTGAACACATCCACTAATCTAGCTAAAATTGAAATCTAGGTTTAGTTATTGCTATAGCTTCGGGCAGCTGGATTTTCTCGTATTTATAATGTTGCATTTGCAGGTGGATTACGAAATGGCATTGGAGTATGCGACACAGAGCGGAGTTAGCGAGGAACCCAAGGAAACAATATACATACAATCATTGGAAGCTGAAAATAAGACGATTGACTTACACACCCCATTATTTGTTTTCAGAGTCTTTCAGTAGATTTGGAAAATGAAAAGAAATGAGCGAAATTGATTTTTCAAATTAAATTATTATATCACATTGCATAAAAGAAATTTATTGTATCAATTATTTTTATTTGTAGGAAATGTCAATTGATAAGATATTTCAGTGGATTCTGAAAGTGTTTATCCGTACATCATATTGTATATTTTTGTAACGAGCTCTTGTCATTTTTGCTCACTTAGGGCAGCTCCAATGTATCTCTAATAGAACGAACTAATATGGTTAGATATTTGTGTGGGATCAAATTGCCTGATTGCATTTAAACAATATCTAAGCGAACTAAATTAATTTTATTCCAATGCTTATTTGAATAAGCAATCTATATATGGTTATATTAATTTATATTTGGCTCCATCAATTATCAAGATTAATATTGTTTAATATTAAACAACATATTTTTTGGATTGTTAAGCAATTTTCACAAATATTTAAGCAAGTGTTTACTTCAAGTGAAATGCTAAGTTTTGAAATTTATAAATTCTAGCATATTTTAAGTGGTCCACACGCCACATCATTTTTTAGCGATCAATGATCCTCTTAAATGACCCCACATATAATAATTTTTTTTTTTGCTTTTCCTTGTTTTTTTTCTCATGACATTTAAGTTTTATTTTTTTTATCATAAATGTTTTAGACGGGACATGTAGCTGATCCATCGTCGAACACAGCTCAATCCAATTCTATGTTGAGAATGATTCAGAGTGTAGGCTCAATCTGTTGAGACCAGTGGAGAACACATTCTTCACGTGCTCGTCACCCGAGGACATGTCACCAACTGAACCTGCATACCTCGCTGAGCCATTTTGTCCTTTGTAAGGGACAAGTTCACGCACTAGCCGAGGAGTGCGGAGCGGTTGACCCAGAACGATGAGCACGAACTGCTCATCCTTACTCTCACTTGGAAATCATGACAATCATCCGTTGTGGGTCTGAACACTCAGCCTATAATGGAGACCAGTGACCAAACACTTGGGATTCACTATAAAAACTCTTCTCTACGAGAGGGTCATGAATTTTATTCTTTAACCCTTTCTTACTTACCTTTTCACCCGAACTGACTTAAGTATCAGAGTGTCTGCAGGTACAACCCCCCTTCGTTGACTGTTCAAGACTGCAGACGTGTTGCTTGCCACTTATCTATTCTTATCAACTGTTCGAATCAACAAACCACATACTTTTTGTGTTGCTTTAGTGGATAGTCGATAGGATGAAAAATAGGCATGTCTGTCATGTTTAAATATGTTCTGCAAAAATTTGTAAAAAAGAAACGGGATGGGCCGCGCGTAGTTGAGGGTGCGGGCTTAAAAGTTTGAGTCGTTTCACACTAAAAGTGAAGACGGGGGTGGTTTGAGTCGATAGACATTGCTAAAAGCCTAAAATACAAAATTTATATTACTGTTCATGCACACAAAAACTCGGGATAAAACGGGTCACGGGTATTGTACATTTTAAACTTAAAAATACTACATTTATATTAATGTTCGTGTCCATAAAAAACTAAATAAAAATGGGGTAGAACAGGACAAACGTATTAAAAAGTGCGAGTCTAAATCCTTGATCCATCCCATACTTATATTAAAGAATACAAGTCTAAAATTTTGATCCATCCCATAGTAAAATACTGGAAAAACAGGCCATGCCCAACTACGTAACCCATTTTATCACTCCTATCTCCATTTAGATATTTTTCAATAACCGAAAACTTAAGAGGCGAAACTCGACTAACCAACCTCCATTGAGAATGCTCTTAATATAACATACTAATGTATTTTGCAAACATAACATCACATTGAAAATTAATCTAATGAATATTATGTGATCTTGTCAATCATTTATCAATCACGTTAAAAAAAACTACATTGAAATGTAAAAAAAACGTAAAAACAAACATAAAAAATAAAAATAATGAAATTTAGAATTTTATAATTGATGTAATTTTTCACGTGTTAATTAAGTCGACGGACATCCAAACACATATTTAATCTATTAGAGACAAAATTATTATTTAAAATATCAATAATTATTTATCATTCACCAATAATTAATTACATACGCATTATTATAGAGCCAAAGTGGAGCGGTAACTAATTAACTGTATTAAGATGCATTCCAAAAAAATGCAAGTATCGTTTATGACATGTTGTAATACCCTAATTTTTTATCTATAAAATCTCACATTTCATTCGCATCATTACATACGCAAATAAGATCATACTTTATGGTTCTCCTAGCACTCTTGTGTTTTTCTTACTTATTGTTGTTTATGTTTACTAATCTCTAACCAAAATACTAAAATTTTTGCAATTTGCTTGTTTCTTCTTCTTCTCTGTGTGTTTAGGATTTTGCAAGGAGATTGATGGCAAGGACATTCATTCAAGTCTCAATCAGATGGAAGTTTGATTTCATCTTGGTCAAACTATCAAGAGTTGGCTTCAATTATAAGTTACCCGTGGTGGTGGACTATTTTCTCAAGAAATGTGATTGTTCAAGATCAAATTGTCTTGTGTTGAAATCCATTGGTTTATCAAGCAGTGTTCTATGAGAAGTTTGGTCCAGAGATTCAGAAAATTATGTCAAAGATCAAAATTGAGGGCCGATGATTCAGTTGCAAGTTATTCAGTGGTTCATCTTTGAATCTATTCATAATCAAGGTAAAGTCAGGATTTAGTTTAGATGGTTGTTACTTCAGGTGCAAGTAATTCATTGGTCCAGAAGTAGTCGTATTTCATTTTATCAAAGACGTGTGAAAAACAATGAAACTAGGTTTTGAATAGAAATTGAGAGTTCATACTACGGAGCCTTGCCATCAATAAAAGAAAAAAACATGCACTCATGCACATGTATACTGTTGTGGAAAATGAAGCTGAATGTTGAACAAAAGAGTTGCATTGATCTAATACCTACATGCTCACAGGTATGTGGCAAGTGCTTTAGTTGTGGTATACGTGATTGTTCGAAGCTATGCCTGTGTTGAGAATTGTTCGCCATGTAAGATTCAAATTCAAAATCTATCATTGGAGCTCTTGATATCTATGGATTTGAAAGTTTTAAGATTGATAGTTTTGAGCAATTATGTATTAGTTTAACAAATGAGAAGCTACAACAACATTTTAATTAGCATGTCTTTAAAATAAAACAAGGAAAAAGTGTTCAGCAAGAGTGTATATGCTGAAAGTGATTATGGCTTGCTGTTTGATGCTGGTATCACCGGAAAACGCCGCGGACTAGGTCATCATTTGCCACAAACAGGATTATTTGTGAAACCGTGATAGATTATATTTTATGGCCATGTTTCCCCTGAAACACTTGCAACCCTTCATGCTGAGCTCTTAGGTCACCCGGTAACTAACATAATGCCTACACTGGACCAGACTGCGCTAGTACATGCATCTGTTCACGGGCCAAAACATTTCGTGCTGATGATCCTACTGAAGCATATGGTTCGCCTCATGTAAACTTCCTTTCCAACAGTGTCAATAATTTCCCTGTCAGTCTTTAAAGTAAATGATTCATCATCAGGATATGGAGCATGGCTGCCATCTAATACACTTGGTTCAGTCTCAAGGGGGAGGTTAGGCATCATGAATAATAACACGGTGATTGATATATTGCAGCACCAACAAAAGTATCATCATCAGCAAAAGCGACAGCATTTTCCGATTCATGATCAAAATCGATCAATCAATGTGCAACCATCTTGCATGGTGGTTCCTGCTCAACCTTCTGACACTTTCCAGGCAGTAAATAGTGTTGCTTCTGTCAACAAGGATTGTAGTTTTGACAGAAATGCCATCATTGATTATAGTCAATCATCAGAAAAATCAAATAATTCATCGAGTACATCTCAATTTCCTGGAGAAAACCTCTATGGTGAGAAATTAGAATTTTATGTGCCTTAAAATGGAAGGTGATGATGAGCTCCGAACAAAATTGATGGGTACTGATATCATCAAGTGTACACAATCTGATAAAGTCAGGTTTCGAGGGGTTAATCTTTCTGGCATCGACCTCGCTAAACTGGATTTATCATTTGTGGATTCAATAATGCTTGTCTTAAAAAATGTTTTTTCTCAGGAGCAAATTTTCAATGTGCCAAGTTTTGGAATGTTGATGCTGAAGGCTCTATCTTTCACAATGCAAATTTGTGTGAATGTGAGTTTACTAGGGAAAATCTTCGTGGTGCTTTATTGGCTGGTGCGCGCCTTCAGAGTGCAAATCTATAAGATGCTTGTGTAGTAAATTGTAGCTTCTGTGAAGCAGACCTGCGATCTGCACATTTACAGAATGTTGAACCTATTATTGCTAATCTAGACAAGTACTAGCTTTGATAGAATGCAAGGAGCTATGAAAAAATTTGTTGTTGATGAGACAAATGTCAGCGGGTATATATTTCACCACTTACTGGGTCATGAAGTTGTGGATCAGATGGTCCAAGAATAATGAATCTACATGCTCCTGAATTTGTTCCAAGAAATGCTACTCACAGTCAATTAGGTGAAGTCTTTTCATCGTGATCTTTCCAAGTTTGATAAGCTTCAAAATATTTTGGATACTGTTGCTGTATATCCCAATCCATCTGGCTTTAATCAGGGTATGTATTCATATCAGTGGCTATTTTAAAAAAAATGGATTTGTATCATCCATGTTGGAATTCAAAGGATTTGCAAGTTTGGCTGAGAATAGTTTAAATTCAGTTGAGCAAATTGGAACTTACATTGATTCGCCTTCAGCGAGTACTCCGTCAACATGACGACATTGCAGAGGGGACCGCTCAATTCAGCTGCAACGGAAACAAACACCAACGTCTCGATGGAACAATGGAATCATTAGAACATTCATTTCATGTAATCAATCAGCTTGTGTTGAGTCACGCACCGTGTTCTGTTGGAATTCTGGTCGATCGCGGTCTGGGAAGAACAAGCCAGGTTCAAGCTAGTGATGTTTCTTTCAATGTTGTTGTAGTATTCTTCGGAGGA